CCGGTCCTTGGGACGGAAGAGCCACCGCTGCTAGCGAAGCCCCACCCCAGCTCTGGGGATACAAGGCAGGGGGTGGAGATGAATAGGTGTGGCAGACAACTACTCATCTTCCGGATGGACAAACTTGTTAGCCTGCGTTGAGAGAGAAACTTTTTGCCGGGGCTCCTAATTAAAGGAATCTTTTAAGTTCACGTCAGAGGGTTTGCCGCGTTCGGGGAGCTGGGTCAGAACAATGGGGTTAGAGGCTGGCCCCTGCCCCTCACCACTCTGGTGTGATTCTCCCTGCCTGGCAGCCACGAAGGTGAGTCGCTTGCAAGAAGCCCTGGAGGAGGCAGAGGCCACCGGCGACCTGGGGGCCGCCCTGGGACTCTCGGAGCAACTGGGGGACCTTTTCTGCAAGGTGGGCGAGTATCGGCGGGCTGCGGAGGCCTACGAGAAGCAGGTACGGCCCAGATGTCCAGGGGGGCAAAGTGGTGGAGGAATGGGGAGGGGGGAAGGGAAAGAGTCCAGCTGCCCCCGATTCTGACCCTCAGCTCAGCTGCTTCTCTCTTGATGGTTTGTGGGGGGTGGGGAGGTCAGCCTCAGAGTTGCCCCTGAGCCGCCCAGTCACCCCCAGTCTTCCCAGTTGGGGCCAGCTGGTCCCTTCCTCCTTAGTATCGGGCAGTTCAAGGCAGCAGCCAGTGCTAGTATATTGGTCATCGGATTGTCCACTCATAAAACATTCCTAGGCCTGTTTTAGTCGTTGGCATTAAAAAGCGGGGTGCGGGAAGGAAATCTGGAAGAGGAGTTCAAAGCAAAAGTCCGTTCCAACTCTTCTCTTTAAAAGATTGTAACTAAACTACCGGAGCTTTTGCCCGGGAATAGATTTAATTGGAGAACGTGATTGGATGACACCCAGCCTATGAACGGGCTCAGTTGGAGAATCTGATTTATGACACAGCCGGGAGGGGGAGGGGGTGGAAAACAGGGTCCCAGGGGGCTGTAAATGACGTAGGCCAGAATTGGCTTCATACAGGGCAGGGCCAGTGGGTCGCCTCTAAGGAATCCTTTGAAGGTTTTTGAAGTTGGGCTCGAGAATCGTGATTTAATTTGGGCGATTGCTGGAATCCTGACACTGATCTAGAACCAAGTGCCTTGATTGCCAAAGCTGGACAGAAGCAGGAAGTCCGATCAAAATCAGAAGAGGCCCCTGCTCAGCAATAAAGGAACACACACACACACACACACACCCGTCTCCCAGATGCCAGACTGGAGCCACCCTGGGGCTGAGGGTCCTCCTCCACTCACAGCCCCCTCTCCACAGCCTCTTGTAGCCAATGTGGGGAACGGGGGAGGGAAAGAAAGAGAGACAGGAGGAGCCATGTTGGAATCATTGCTTGTGGATTGATTGTCTTTCTGTCATGTCGTCTATATGTATCTCTCTCCCCCCCCCAAGGTAGGTAGATACAGATGGATCTTCTCACACCGAATTCCCCCCCCTCCCCTGCGGCCTCCCCTTTTTTTACGTGAACATTTTGTAATTCAGAGGAAACCCCCTTGGGGAAAAAATATCTATCGTATCTCTATCATCTATCTCTACCTACCTACCATCTATATTTATCATCAGTCCCTCTACCTCTTTCTCTCTCCATCTCTACCTACCTACCTACCTACCTACCTATCTCCATCTACCTACCTACCTACCTACCTTTCTATATCTACCTACCTATCTATCTACCTTATCTCTCTCTCTCTCTCTCT